CATCATATATATATTTAAGGGCATGCACAGAAATTTAAAAAACTGAAAACTGAGAAAATGAGTGTGTGATCTGTGTGCACAAAAACCGATATTTTTATTTTTATTTTTTAATATATTTTATTGATTATGCTATTACAGTTGTTCCATTTCCTCCTTCATTCCCCTCCTCCCTACACACCCTCTCTCACCCACATTCCCCCCCTTTAGTTCGTGTCCATGTGTCATAAGTTCTTTAGCTTCTACATTTCCCATACTATTCTTACCCTCCCCCTGTCTATTTTCTACCTACCATCTATGCTACTTATTCCCTGTACCTTTTCCCCCTCTCTCCCCTTCCCACTTCCCTGTTGCTAACCCTCTGTGTGATCTCCATTTCTGTGGCTCTGTTCCTGTTCTAGTTGTTTGCTTAGTTTTTGTTTTTGTTTTAGGTGTGGTTGTTAATAATTGTGAGTTTGATGTCTTTTTTTTCTGTTCCTTTTTATCTTCTTTTTCTTAGATAAGTCCCTTTAACATTTCATGTAATAAGGGCTTGGTGTTGATGAATTCCTTGAACTTGACCTTATCTGAGAAACACTTTATCTGTCCTTCCATTCTAAATGAAAGCTTTGCTGGATAGAGCAACCTTGGATGTAGGTCCTTGCCTTTCATGACTTGAAATACTTCTTTCCAGCCCCTTCTTGCCTGTAAGGTCTCTTTTGAGAAATCAGCTGGCATTCTGATGGGAACTCCTTTGTAGGTAACTGTCCCCTTATCTCTTGCTGCTTCTAGGATTCTCTCCTTCATTTTTACCTTGAGTAATGTAATTATGATGTGCCTTGGTGTGTTCCTCCTTGGGTCCAACCTCTTTGGGACTCTCTGAGCTTCCTGGACTTCCTGGAAGTCTATTTCCTTTGCCAGATTGGGGAAGTTCTCCTTTTTTATTTGTCCAAATAAGTTTTCCACTTGTTGCTCTTCCTCTTCTTCTTCTGGTACCCTATAATTTGGATGTTAGAATGTTTCAAGGTGTTCTGGAGGTTCCTAAGCCTCTCCTCATTTTTTTGAATTCTTGTTTCTTCATTCTTTTCTGTTTGATTGTTTCTTCTTCCTTCTGGTCCCTTCCATTGATTTGAAACCCAGTTGTCTTTTCATCACTATTGGTTCCATGTGCCTTTTTCTTCATTTCACTTATTGTAGCCTTCATCTGTTCATCTAATTTGCAACCAAAATCAACCAATTCTGTGAGCATCCTTGATCATCAGTGCTTTAAACTGTGCATCTGATAGGCTGGCTATCTCTTGATCACTTAAAAGCATTGGCTGCGGCACTTTGATTTGTTCTGTTTGAGCCATTATTTTTTGTCTGGTCACGCCTGTTAACGTATTGAGGGGTGGTGCCTTAGGTGTTCACCAGGGTGGGGCACCCCAGTTGCTGGGTTGTGACGCTATATGTGGGGGCGGGGTCAGAAAGGGAACAATGGCGCTTGCTCCATGCTCTCTCAGACTTCAGTCCCCTCCACCGCTTCCCACAAGCAGATTGGGGCCTTCTGGTGCTGGCTCCCAGGCAGGTGGGCTTGTATATGTTCTAGGACCCTGTGGGTCTCCACAAGGAACTCTCCTGTGAGGCTGGGAGATTCTCTAGGCACCCCAACCCCCACAGGTGTTTTCAATCGGTGCTTTTAGGCTTTATTTCCCAGCGCTGGGTCCCTGGGTTGTGCAGTCTGTGTTGCTGCCCATTTTTGCCTGGTTTATCTGTACGTAAATGTGTGACTGTGGACAGCCAGCTGCCTTGTGCACCTCACTGGGTCTGCTCGTTGCCTCCCACACTTAGGGTCTGCCACTGGGTCCCTCAGCTGCCCCTGTGCGTCTGGGGTCCGCCAACTGCCACCTGCTCCCTGGGCGTCGCGTTTGCCAGCCACCGCTTTTTCCTGCTGGGACCCCTCGACCCCTCTCCGTAGGCCTCCACCCCTCTTACTGGTCTGGATGAATGGTTGTCAGACTTCTGTACAGTTCATTTCTCTGTGTTCTGGTTGTTTTTTTGTTTCTAAGTTTTTGTTGTCCTTAGTTTTGGTTGTGTGAGGAGGCACAGTGTGTCTACCTATGCCTCCATCTTGGCTGGAAGTCAAAACACATTTTTAATAACACACTTAACATATGTGATCTGTTGTATGAATCAAAATGCATGTGGCCCCCACCATAACAGGACATAGTCACAAATACTGACCATATCTAATTGGTCACAAAGAAAATCTTAACAAATTTTCAAAAGTAAAATATATCCCAAATTCACTGATAATAATGCAACAAAAAATTCAGAAAAAATAAAAGCTTATGTGCCTGTGGCTGGAGGTAGAAGAGAAAGATGTAGCCAAAATGGTGTTTAGAGGAAACTTTATAATTTGAAATGCATTTGTTTGAACATTTAAAATGACTAATAAAAATTACTTTTTCAAGACATTAGTATGACATAATGATCACCTGACTTAAAACTTACATACAATGAAACACAGGAATCCTAAGTATTCTGTGAATAATATGCACTGGCAATTCTTCCCCTGTGCTTTTCATTGTATCTAAGTTAACTCAAAAAGAAACAAGAATGTACAGATATTGAACTCTTGTTAATGATTTCCATGCTGAAAAATTTCAGGATGAGTGTACAAAAATCTGCAACTTGTGAGATCAATAATAAAAAAAAAGACAGACTGATGGGTGGAGATTGATGGAAAGGGAAGCGACAAAAGTAGCACCATGTAGTTAATGTAAATGGTAGTGTCTAGTTGGCAGGGAAATTTTTTCTACTTTTCTATGTTTGAAATTTTTCATAGTAAGTGTTAGGAAAAAAGGCTATCTTAAAGGGTGAAGAAAGTGGTTCTTGACAATTTAATTAAATATTAATTTTCCCAAATTTATCTAAAAAGTCATTGCAATTCCAATAAAAATATTCTCAGAATATTTCAAGAAAACTACGGTGTTCTTTAGTAAAACACATTAAGAACCCACATAATTATTGACAAATGATAGAAAATTTAAATTTCTGTGTTATCAAGAAGATACATAATTTTTGAAAATCATTAAGAAACAATGTGCCCTAGCTGGTGTAGCTCAGTGGATTGAGCGCGTTCTGTGAACCAAAGTGTCGCAGGTTTGATTCTCAGTCAGGGCACATGCCTGGGTTGCAGGCCACAGCCCCCAGCAACCACACACTGATGTTTCTCTCTCTTTCTCCCTCCCTTCCCTCTCTAAAAACAAATAAATAAAATCTTAAAAAAAAAAAAAGAAACAATGTAAGGGCAATGGGCAAGGACTATGAGGAGACAGTTGGCAAAGAGAAACCATATGTGCCAGGAAAGGTCTCTGTCCAGCAAGCCTCACAGGTGATGGGGAAGGGGGACCAAGGCGGTCATACAGTTCTCCTCTTTCAGAGTAGCAAAGTGAACAGATTTGTGGATCATTCTGCAGACAAAGAGAAATGGACAGGGAAGCCTCGCCCACGTGTGCCCCCCAGTGCTCTAGTCCTCAGAATCCCCCTCGAGAAACTCCGTCCAACAGTCCTGGGTCACAGACAGGGAGGCCCTGGAGGGCACGGAAGCCACGGAAATGCCTGACGCTGCAGAAAGAAGCACTCACTCCAGGGGTGGAGAAAAAAAAGAATCCTTGGGGAATTTTAAATGTTCTGAGACTATTAAACATGTCGAACATAATATCATTTATGTAAAAAAAAATGAGTAAAAGTGAGATGCTATAGCTCTCAAAGCTAAGAAAGGCCCAGCGCTGGTCCACCCACATGACAATGTAGGACCCTGGGGCACATAACTGCCTGAATTCTTTGCACAAACATATTGATTTAACTCATAATGAAATATTATCTTTGCACAAATATATTGATTTAATCCATAATTAAAAATGAGAAAAATATATTAAAATATTGTTAAAGTTTTATATAAAATTTCAAAATGTAAATATACTTGATATTTATATATTATATTATAGTTATATATACATTATATTTATATACTCTAACATATTGTGTTTGTTATATATTTATGTAAAGTATATAAATTATCATATAAATAAATTACATGACAGAAAAGAAAATAATTCATTTGAAGTGACTCATTCCTTTCTTAAAGCATCATAGATGTTCCCTTTACACAACTTTTTCATTCCTCATTATACTCAAGAATGATCGCTAAGGAGAAATGCTTCAGCACATTTGCTGAACACAGAATGTTCCCCAAAAGCTTCCTTGTGCAAAAGGTATCTGCTGTATGCTCAGAGGGTCAGCCCTGCCCCATAACGTGCCCCAGTGGTCAGTGTGTATGAGGAACCAAGGGGACAGGGATGTGCAAACAGTACTCAGCTTACCAACACAGCACCCGTGTCTCTTTAGAACACTGTAAGTGAAGCTTTGGTTCTCTGATGTCTGGGTAGGAAATGAGGAATCCAACCATGCCTGCAACCTCAAACACAGGTGCTGCAGAGTAATTCTCAGGCACACAATGAGAACAAATCAGGTACAGTGGGGAATCTTTCCACGATGGCATGCTGGAAAGACTGGACTGGAAACAGGCCTGAGTTCATGGCTCAATGAAGACCCTGAGCTGGGTTTGGATCCTCAGCTTCCTCATGGCTGAAGTGGGTCTGAGAATCTGCCTATGGCTGTGGGTGGTGCTGGGACTTCAAGGGGAACTGCTTCCCTGGCTCTAAATGTGCTTGCATACCAAGTCCAGGTATCCCTGGCAAACTGGTCCATATGCTAATACTTCTTCCAGGTGCCTGCCTGGAAGGTCACGATATATAAAAGGTACTAGCAATGTCTGTTTTCATGACAATTTTCCTAACACTGACTGGAAAATATAAGTTTTCCAGTCCACAACAAACATACTGCCATCCTGGTGTGAAGTCCAGCAAACTTCCAGTAAATTCGGCAACGATGTTATGTGCTAGATTTAAAACCTAGATTTTTACATAATGGAAACCCTCAGAGAATGAGAAAATGGTTTGAGGAAAACAGGTACTTACTGAAAATTATGATTTGGGCTGTGTGTTGGACCTAAAAAGAAAAAAAAAGTACATGTTATTAATATTTCAGATTTGGAACCAAACTTTTTTCCAATCAAGCCAATGGTGAAGGCAGCCACAGCCCAGGGTGCCCCTTCATAGTAAGCTGTCCTTGGCTGGACTCTGCCCCCATCCAGGATGTTGTGCCAGGGACGGGGAAACCGCAAAACATGGAGGGGCACTCTGTTGAGGCAGAATCATTTGGACATATTATTGGGAGTTTTTCTTTCTCTTTCATCTAACCTTGATTCATAAGATATACTTTGCTAATCAGTGATGAAGTGGCCTGAGGTTTGTGTGACAGGCCAGAGCATTGCAGGGATCTTCTCACAACTGGGATGAAAAGGGGACACATTCCTTCCAGCCATTTAACAAGCTCAAGAGTACAGAACTGTCATCATGCTGGCTGTCCACCCCTCCTCTCAGCTGGGCCAGGTGTCAGTGGGGTAGGTAGGGATTTGGGTCTGTGCGGGCCCCCCAGGCTGTGTGTGGCAAGGTGAACTTGTAACATATGACCTGCCCACTAAATCTCAGAGCTCACCTTTGTGCTGATTTTATGTTCTGCATCCAATGTGTCCATCTGTGCCCCTCTTCTTACTAGTTGAATGGGAAGCATGGGAAGCAGGGTAAACTGGGCCCCGTGCCCAAGGGGAAGGCTCTGGGTAACGGTTTTATTCATTTCTTCTCTGCTGGTGTGTGTGTGTGTACAATTGCAAACTGCAAGTTAATCTCCTGTAATAGCTGTGACACTCCCTAGCTGCAAATGGACAGGCCCAGACCACCCTCACTCACCAAGCCGCACAAACAGGACGCCAGTGGCAGTTATGGTTTTCATCCCATTGGTGGCCACACACTGGTAGTAGCCAGTGTCTGTTGTGTCTAGGTCCTGGATGCGTAGCCGAGAGCCATATTCTGTCTTCCGGATGATGACACGCCTCGGCTCCTGCACGACTGGGGCATCGTTTTTCAGCCACCGCACGCTGGGGGGTGGGTTGCCAGCCACCTTGCAGTGCAGAATGGCAGTCTGACCTTGGACTATGGTGATATTGTTCACTGGCTCCAGAAAGTTAAGAAAGTAACCTGAAAAGGAGAGTGTCACATAAGAGCAAACTTCAGCAGGGGCTGGTGGGAAGGGCTTCCTGGAAGCTGCTGGGGAAGGCTTTAATTTCACATATACTGTCCAGTCCCATTATCAGCAGAACTGTGTTCTAGAATGTTGCAATACTGAATTAGGGAATACAGAACCACTGCTGTAACTGAGCCTGTAGTCAGAGTATTTTCATCAAATGAGTTATACCTAACCTTGTTTTATGTGTGTTTTTGTGTAAAGACACCTTATTTATTATGTATTGTTGAGGCACTGACATCATGATCACAGCTGACAGCGTTGGAGCTCCTGCCTGAAGGGTGCATATCCAGCTCACATGTTTTCTCCATAAGACATGTCTCAGCCTTCTGTACTTAGCGACACCAGACACACTTCGGCACCAGTATCGGGCATTTAAAAATATTTTTAAAGATATTATTTATTTTAGAGAGGGGGCAAGGGAAGGAGAAAGAAAGGGAGAGAAACATCGATGTGTGGTTGCCTCTCATGAACCCCCTACTGGCGACCTGCTCCACAACCCAGACATGTGCCCTGACTGGGAATTGAACCAATGACCCTTTGGTTTACAGACAGGCACTCAATCCACTGAGCCATACAAGCCAGGGTGTATCAGGCATTTTAACCAGTGAAATCACCAACAAAATGTGAAACCATGGGACTACCAACCATGGAAAGGACACTTGTTCCTGGTGTGAGCTGAAACAAGGCAGGCAGAGTGTTACCTCCCTCATGCTCAGCTGGGAGTGCATGCAGCTGTAAATCCACATTCCCTAATCTGAGTATGTCTGTAAGTGAACCACAAATGTGAGTGAGGGTGGATGTGTGGTTATAAATAGTTTAGGCAGTAGGCAAACTCACCAACATGAAATCAACAAATAATGAGGACTGACTATACTTCATTTTCAAGCTCTAAATCTAACCTAATCTCACTAATTTATGATGTAAATTCATGCTTATAAAATCTATCCTCCCTCTTGCCCCACGACAAAGATGTCCCAAAACACAAGTTAATCACTAGCCTAACCAAAACAAGAATGACAAAGCTGAGTGGTGCTGATGTCCCACTGCATCTGGGTCAGACGCAGAAAGGAGCTTCCCCGGGCTCACTCTCTACAGGGAAGGACCCAGAATACAGAGGGAGCAGGGCTGGAAATGCTGCTTTGGGCTCAGCTGCAACCCACGCCAAGGGAACAAGAGGAAGTGAGGCGGACAGTGAGGAGAGAGGTGTATGTGTAGCATGTGTGTGTGCATGTGTGTTTGCAGTGTAGGTCGGGGCAGGAGGTCACTCTCTCAAGATAAACACACATGCTAAAATTCAGTAACACATAAAAAACAGTCTAGACAGACAAGACAGTCAATCATCAGGAGATGAACTCGCTTCTGAATTCAAAACTGAGATAGCACAATCAGAATATTAGTATAAAATACTAATATTGTGTTCTGAATCTTCTGCCTTGATTTCTGGTTGGTCCCTAATTCTTTTTTAAAAAATAAAGTTGAAAGATTGAAAGATGGCCTATCTCTGTTATTACTGATTTAACTGGATAGAAAATTACAGGATTTCGAGTAGACCCCCAGGGTACATTTCACAGGATAGGTGATGGCCCCCCCACGGTGGGTGGGTGGTTGGTTGGTGGTAGCTGAGGGGGTGGGATGCTGTGGGTTTCATGATAAAGGGGCAGTTTTCCTTCATAAGGAAGATTGGATAGATATCTATCTGGAGAGGTGTTACTAATTCACACTGATTATTTATGATTATTGTATTAATAAATATCATTAGGGTCTATCTTGATTCCTTCCAGACCAACCCTTTTCTCAATGCACTGAACTAAGATGTCAAAGAGAATTCTTATTCTCAACACAAAGCTGGAAGGTAACTGAAATGTCAATGACAACCCCCTGAAAAGATGTTCTAAATCAAGTCTAGTGGCATTCTGGATGAATGCTCTTCATTAACTCAACTGCACCAGCTCAGCTGGGGAAGACCTGTGTGCCTGAGGTTCCTGCACTAGACCCTGCACGCCTGAACATAACACCAACTCTGACTTGACAGTTTCGAGCAGTTACTCTGACAGAATATGGCAAACACATTGTTGCACTGTGTTCTGGCCAGAGCCCACCTTAATCAGGGTTTCATATGAAGTACTTTCAAGTTGTTTAATATTCAAATGCTTCATTAAGGTCTTTATAACACTAAAGGCACACTAAGGAATATAGAATAGTCAGCAAACTGTAATTTAAAATACAAAATGACATATTAAAGTCACAACAATCTCTTCATCTTGGCATTAAGTTTAGCTGTAATTCTCATCTGTATGCATGACAAACCATGGCTTCCCAGCAGACACATGCAATGCTTCGGGTACAGGGAGGATGTGAGGGACTGTATCTCCGAGCCAACCAGCAAAATCTAAAAGGAGTTCTGAGGGGTTCTGAGGGCTGGGACACTGAAGTCTCTGTTAACTGTCATCTCATCGATTGTAGGGGCTGGTTCCAGAGTTATTCTGCCATCACCTCCCTCCATTTTCAGGACATCTGCACACATCAACTTGGGACATCTCCACTGGTCAGTTAAATATCTTGAAAAGTACAGAAGGATTCTTCTTCTTCAACACAGAAGAGACATTTGTCAAGAAAGGAAGAATGGGAGTGCTCAGAGAAGAAAGTTAAGGATCTGTACCACTTAGAAGGGAACCTGAGGGGAAACCAGGACTGTCCAATTACAGTAAATAGACCCTCAGTATCTACTCCTTTGCAAGAATACATTTTTTTCCCTCAGAAGCATATGGAAACATGGACTTCTCCTTCAATGTTCCATTCATTCCCCTTAACAGCTTCCTCTACACCCCTGATTGACAAGTTGGCAACTGTTAAGACTGAGGCTTTCAGTGTCCCCAGGAAGGCTCCTTTTTGAGAGGTAAAGACAGGGAGGATTTGCTTCTGCCTGCCCTGCCCTCTGTTTGGACACAGAGCCTGGGGTCAACCCTACTCAACGTTGTGAGCCCTGCTCCGAAGGGCTGAGGAGAAAGAAGCTGTAGTTCCAGCGAACCCAAACCCTCTAAGAATGAACTTAAAGCAGAACAGACAACACTGAGAAGAGGCATCACTAGAGGGGACTGCCAGGACTGGAAAGCACAGTCCTCAATGGCCAACACCATCCCTGGGGGTGGCTCTGGGTGCAATGACATAGAGAAGGCCACCCCCATTCCAATGTGGGCCTTGAGTCAACCTCCCTCATGTTCTACTGGAGGCTCAGAGAGACCAAAACCATAGGTCAGTATGATAATTTCATAAATTCACTGCTTTTGCCCTAGCTAGGTCAGTAAAACTGAGACTTTAGGAAGAAAGCAAGGAGAGAGATGATAAAGACAAGTTAACTTATATCCATGGTATCCTGCTTCTGGAACATTCTCTACCCTTTCTCCACTGGAAAGGAGGGTTCTTTGCTCTTTCTGAAACATATCCAGCTGGTCCCTCATCACAGAGTCTGCTGAGAACACCTTGTCTTGGAGCTTCCCTGTTTCTCAAGGGGCAAGTCTCTGCCGAAAGGTCACCTTCGCAGAAGGTGCTCCTCGGGCTGCCCCACCTTAAACAATCTCCATGTGTTTCTAACCCTGCTCCCACCCCACTGAGCTTGGCCTGTTACTGTGGCAAAGTCATACTCGTTCAATTATGGTGACTGAAATATATTTAGAAATCAAGAATAACAAATGTTACCTTTTGGGGCTAGTTTCTCACATTCACGTTAGAATTATTCTAAGTTCCATTTAAAAACTGGACTGTTGCCCTGGCCAGAGTGATTCAGTTGGTTGGAGCATCAGTTCCATAAATCAGAAGGTCAGGGGTTCAATTCCTGGTCAGAGCACATGCCTAGGCTGCAGGTTCAGTCCCCAGTCAGGGTGCGTGTGAGAGGCAACTGATTGATGTTTCTCTTGCACATCAGTGTTTCTCTTCTTCTCTCTCTCCCACCCTCACCCTCTCTCTAAAATCAATAAGCATGTCCTCAGGTGAGGACACAAAATTTGGGGTGTTGATGGAGAACTGCTTCTATGGGTATTTGTATAAAACTGCCCTTTTGACAATACCGAGAAAACAAGGTCTATGTCTCTATTTCAGACCTCATTCTTTTCAGAAAAGCGTTGTCATTTTCTTTCCATACATCTTCACATTTATTTTTAGGTAGTTTTCTAGGTACTCTGTAATTTTCCTTACTAGTGAGTGAGCTGGTTTCATTTCAATTATTTCCATGTAAGTGGGCTTACATGGAAATGATTACATATCTGTATATTGTACTAATTTATTCTTGCTGCTGTAACAAATTAGCACAAACTTAGTAGCGTAAAGCAACACAAATTCATCTTACAGCTCTGGAGGTCAGACCTCCCAAATCAAGGTGTTGCACGGCTGTGTGCCTTCTGGAGGCTCCAGGAAAGTCTCTTCCCGTGGCTTCCTTGACCCTGGAGGCCACCACCTGCCCTGGATCCTGGCGCTCTCCTTGCATCACTCCAACCTCTGCTTCTCACTGCACTTCCCACCAATGACTCTAGGCCTGCTGCCTCCCGTGTAAAGAACTCTGCGAATACACAGAGTCCACCTTGATCATTCAGGATCATGTCCCATCTCAAAACCCTTAGCTTAATATGAGTTTCAAAGTCCCTGTGTCTGGGAAGGTTCCAGGGATTAGGACGTGTGCATCTTTGGGAGCCATTCATTGTCCAGTCCACCTGGTATACTTCCCTTTTATCTTGTCACTTTACTGAACTACCTTATTAGCTAAAATAGTTTGAGTCATTGTCTTATACTCTCTATTTAGGTATCTTCTTCAGTTAACAATAATATAGCCTTTTTACTTTCAAAAATCATACTATTCATATGTTCTTTTGTCGAAGTGTTTTTGTTCAACAATTCCTTTGATTTTTTAATACTGAAATGTTGTCAACATACAGAAAAATACAAATATTAATATAATAGT